CTTACAAAAGGTGCACCAAAAGGAGTTGAGTAGTATTACAAGGTTGGTGCAGCAATGTGTATTATATGACTCGAGTATTGTTTTGCAATTTGTTTGTTCGCATATATGACGAACAAAAGCACTGCAGGTGGTGGAAGGATTTGGACTTTGCAAATAGATTGCCTTTTGCAAGAGACAGATTGGTGGAATTGTACTTCTGGATATTGGCAATCCACTTTGAGCCCCAATTTCACATCGCTAGAAAATTCATGGTCAAATTACTCAGTATAATTTCCGTTATTGATGACATTTATGATATTCATGGGACGTTTGACGATCTTCGACTTTTCGATGACGCCATTCAAAGGTGGTTGCATTTGCTATATATACTTAGTTTACTATAGCTAGGTACTTGTATACTTTTCGTACGTGTTTTGTTTTTTTCATTCATTTCTTATTTATTGCTTCCACCAGATGGGATTTCGATGCCTCAGAGCTATTACCACCGTACATGGGAACATGTTACAAAGCTCTTTTGGACGTTTATGCCGAAATCGAAGCAGAAATTGGAAATTCCGACACGACATATTGTGTTCAGTATTCAATGGATGAGGCATGTTATATATATGTGTAGATATTTAACGAAAAAATACAAGCAAATTTTGTTTCTCTATCAGGAAATTAATGAGGCCTGTGTTTATTTGTAGGTGAAAAGATTGGTGAGTGCATACACGGAAGAAGCGAAATGGTTATACGGTAAGCATACGCCAACAGTGGAAGAGTATATGAAAGTGGCACTTGTATCCTCTGGTTATACAATGTTGTCTGTAACATCTTTTGTTGGCATGGGAGATTTAGTTACGAAACAAATGTGTGATTGGGTCGTAAGCGAACCACGAATCGTGCGAGCATCATCGATAATATGTAGGCTAATGGATGACATGGTAGGGTATGGGGTAAGAAAAACACAAACTCATGATATCTATAAATGTTTTAACTCTTATCTAACTTGTAAAATTAGTGTAGCTAAAATAGCTTCTTATTTTTATGCAGAAAGAATCAAAGATTACAGCTGTGGAATGTTACATGAAACAAAACGATGCATCGGAGGCGGAAACTTTTGCAGATTTTCGGGAACAAGTGAAGAAAGCATGGAAGGATATGAATGAAGAATGTTTTCAAACAACAACAACACCTTTGCGAATAATGATGAATGTCGTCAATCTTGCTCGTGTGATTAATCTTCTATACGTGGATGAAGACGGATATACCAATTCTAAAACCGAGACCAAATACTTTATAAACTACGTACTCGTCGAGCCCGTGATAGTTTGAACGTGTATTCAATGAGTATGAGAAACTGAAATTTGTATTCCCCTGGATTAGTAATCAATTGCTAATTGAATCTGTGGGAATACCCCAAACCAGTACTCTAGTCATGCATTGAGGATGTCCATAGAGATGCTTTGTGTGTGTGATGACGTGAATGTATGAGAAACACTTATTTAGTGCATGGATGTTAATTAATAAATATATTAAAAAAAGTTTGAAAAAATAAAAATATTATTTTTTTTATTTTAAAATTTCAAACATTACTTAAAAATTAATTAAAATTTATCTAAAATTTTCTACAAATGCTTGTTTTTTTTCTCAAATTTTTCAAACATTCCTTAATAATTGTTTTTTATTTTATTTTCGGTCAAGATTTATGTCATTGAAGCTCAAACTCATTGTTTATCTTAGCTTACTTTTTTTCCCTAAAATTTCACCAACTCAATTAAAAGATAAAAAAAATTAATCAGCATCATATATGTTCCATAGATATGTTAAATTAAATGAGCCGCTCGTGAGCTCGGGTCATTTCACAAAAGAGATTATTTAAAACTCGTTTAGTTAACAAGCCTAGCTAGATACGGCTTGATAAGGATCGTTGAGGTTCGAATAAATATTTTTATGTATTTTTTTATAGTTTTGGCTCGATTTTGACTCGTAAATGCTCGATCTCGGTTCGTTAGTATAGATAAACAAGTCAAGCTGGAGCTCGAATATAAGTTCGTTGAGGGCTCGAGCACCATGAGCTCGAGCTCGAATCGACTCGTTTATACCTTGTGTTCCATCACATAAACACTATTCATCCACTCAAATAATTATATATACCAACTTCACTACAAATTCTTCTCCATACCTCATTCGCCCAAATGCCGCAATGCATGCAACGTTGTTTCCGGTGCCATTCCACACAAGCTGCACTAAGGAGAAGCAACCACTTTACATCATTGGACGCTGAAACACCAAGCATCATTAGAAGTTTTCCATAATATCTGCCAAAGTCGGTACCTTTTGCCACTTTTCCCCAGAAATTGACTTATGTAGTGGTCATAGAATGCCTGGAATGAGAAACTCCGGTAACATTATCGAGTAAAGAGAAACAAATATAAGTTTTTCTGTCATTGATGTTGATTCAAGTTTTCGTGCACATAATCGCTTATTGGATCTGCATTATAACAAAATCCCATGTAATGAAAATATACTTTCCAAAATAATTTGGAAAAAAATAATTTATCGGGCTACCGAGAAAAAAACAGCACCTCTCCCACAATCGCAAGCCTGCGATAATTATCCAACGCTAGTGTGGTCTCAACAACATCCTGACTCTTTGTAAAGATAATTTTATGCTGCATTATTCCCTGCAATACATTTTAAATAAGACCCATTCAAAATAAAGTCAATAACTAAATGCATCACAATCTCATCCAGTTCAACAAACCATTTCAGGCAAAAGTTTGTCGTATTGTTTATCAACACCATGTAACTTCTCAGATAATACTTTGTGCTCAAAGGAAGCTGATCACTATCCGGAATATAGCACTCTCAGGCATTGCTTGTACTTTCTCCTGAAAGTGAGTGAGAAATAACATCATTGAAGCTCAGAAAGAGGGACGTAGTAAACAACTCATATTGTTCAAATTTTCAACTCATATTCTCTCTTATTCTTCATTTTGCACAACACCACCAAATTTGTATATGAAAAATCAATCAGTCTAACATGGATGCTTGTATCTAAGAATAACAAAATAATGAATAAATAATTTCAAACTTAAAGCACATACTTTGCAAATAATTTGTGCCAACAAAGTTGTAAAGATTTTTATAGCTTTGCACATATGCAGATGGCAAGGTAAGAAATCAAATAGATTATTTTCTCTACCACTGCACGACGATTTACCGTCTAGCTGTGAAAAAAATAATGAGTTTAGCAATCATAACCTTTTCAACATCCATGAATTCATCCTTCATCATACATTCGAAGTCTTGGAACCTCCGAAATAAACCTATACAATGCATTTACTCAACATTTGAGTGGTGCCTTCGACATCATAGCAATAATACAAACTGAAAAGGTTTTGTAGATATCCCACGCTAAGCGATATCATCAACAAACAACTGGTTTTTCCAATTAAATCAATCAGCCTTACTAACATCTATTAGACATTCTCCCAATAACTCACTTTACATGACGAAACATATTCGATGATTCTCATATCTCATTAGAACCATATTCACAGATGATCAAACACTTTGCAATAGTTAAATCATAGTAAATTGGCTATTTGTACCCAATTACAAAATGAGCCTCAAACCCCACTCTAAACAGATTGCCTTTTTTTTTTGAAAAAAAAAAAGAGAAAGAAACTCAAAATAGTGTTAGAATTGGAGTATTGATTAAGGCAGGGAGGGAGAAATCACATGGGTCTATTGGTCTTAGAGACACGTGGGTGGGCCGCGTGTGGCGCAGTGTCGACGTCCATGAGGGCGTACCAGATGGGGTAGCGGAGCAAGCGGCGGATGAGCGACGACGTTAGTGCCAGGCGGTAGAGGGCACGACAATGACTTTCACCTGGTGGTCCTAGACCGTGGCTTGACGGTCAAGCAGAGGCCCTCCCAGTACTCGACGGGTCTGATGTACTCATTGATCTTATTGGGGAGAGGCCGAGTGGTGAGAACTTGGGTGCGAGAGAGTACGCCGCGCCGACCTCACAGCTAGTGACGACATCTCAATACTCTTGTTAGAGAGTACGCTGCACCGACCACTTTAGCTGAATCGAACTTCAGCGGCCTTCTCACAGACGAAGGGGTCTTTGAGGGTACGGCTGCAAGCGGTCATGGAGGAGCGGCACGTTGCGTGAAAAATGAGTACTGAGGGTTTGAGATGAAATGTTTTGATTTGAGAAGAGGGGTGGGTCATGTTCATTAAAACCTATCGCTTAAAGAATTAAGCAAAAGGAAAAATGATGTCGTTTGTCAAAGAGAGGTAAAATAAAGGCGCCAGCATGCGCCACGTGGCGTGAAAACAAGGGCTATCATTTTTTTTATAACTAGCCGGCTATCGCCGTGCCCAGCACGGCCAGTCCATGTTAAAACCTTTTTTGTTAAGTTAGAAGATTATTTTGTAATTGGAAGTTAACAAAATGTATATAAACTTGAGATCAAATTAGTAGAATTGAGCACCTAATATTGCATAATAGTACAAGAATGAAAACCTAAATACTTGTAAAGTATTCACGCAACACTAATCTCAGCACATGAAACATCATTCTATAACTAAATTCTTTCTATGGGATTCATGGTAAACACAAATAACTAACCATAGTACAACTTTATTCTTAATTTGAATAACCAGAGCAACAAAACATAAAACAAGAATATTTATGAAGGTGGGCATCAAAAGCAACACTTAGTATGATAATATATAATAGAAGTCACTATACTGAGTTCCAAATTATGTTAATAACCACTGGCGGCAAAGACCGACTACTTGTTGGCCATTGCTTTTCCTTTACCAGTTGGATTTGTTGTTCAAGCAGTGGTCACCAAAACGGTCTCCGCAGTTGGGGTGAGGAGATGTTCATCTATTGGGTGTATTTTGACAAGCAATTCCTCAAATGTTACACATTAAGAACATTAAATGTAAAGTGTGGAAGTATAGATGACTATTCATTGTTCCTTTCCGCATAATACCTGTATTCAAATGTTGTTTGGAACATTTCAGGTGACTGTGCACTATAGTAGATATAGCGATGTAATCATCTGTGTATAGAGCAAGTGCCATTTGTTCTCTGTCAGCTCATATCTGAAATAAGAATATAATAAAATAGAAAAAGAATAAACGCACATGACCCACATAATCATTTAAAAAAATTTAATTTCATATTTCCATCGTGTCCTAAAAACCAAATAAAACAATTGTCTTTGGCAAATAAAAATGTGGAATAAAGATATAGGAGAAGAAAGCCCATGAGATGATGAGAGAAATATAAGAAATATATGCTATAGAGTTGTCTTTTTTCACTTACACAAAATAATTAATTTAAATAAACAGTCATCACACATTTCCACAAGAATATACAATCCCCTTATATAAAGAGATTCTAATTTTATATGTAGACCATTTTCCTATATATTCTGTCATTACTTAAAAAGATAATCAGACGTACTTAAGAATTATCTAATCACAACAACACGATACATAGTAAAATTAATCTAAACCAGATAGCACAGAAACAATCAAACTATAGATTTCCAACACAATCTCTTATCAACCCATATCGAAAAGTAAATATTACAAAATTCTCATATAATAAAAATCAATGTTAATATCAATTATATATATGAACACCCTATTATCAATGCTAATATCAATTATCTAATTCACAAAGGCAGACCATCTATTAATAATAAATGGCACCAGATCGGCGCCAAAACATCAACCAAGCAAATTAAGAACACCAATGTCTTAAAGAAAATATTACATACATTGTGTGTACACAAGTTAGACTCAAAAGTGGACAAATCACTTACTAAATAGTTGCTTTGAAATTGGAACGACGATCATTGCCTGAAACTCAACTCAACTCAACTCCTGGACATATAAACACTGAAGCATTATTATAGAGCAGGGCGACTCCTCCGAAGTACAACTCTGCACAATTGCAGTGAAAAGCAAAAGACATGATGGACTCGACGCACTACGTCCAATACAAGAATTCCATTGCTGATAAGAGGGGGACGTGGCTTCATAATAAGAGGAGGGACAGGTGTCAAATAAAACTACGATAAAAATTCATATACATTACTATATCCATAATAATTTCATACATTTGTTTATAGAAAAAAAAAAACAAATAAAAGTGATAAGAACAAGAATTCCATTGCTGATAATTTAGTACTTTCCATCTCATAAGACATTCATATTGTACAAATCAAGAGTCATCTTGCAACATTCATGTTGTACAAATCAGGAGTCATCTTGCAACAATTAATTATTGAGCTCATTAGGTCCCTACTTTCTCGATATTTCAAGAAGATCTCTCATCCAAGAATAGCTTGAAATATCTCTCATCCAAGAATAGCGTTATTCGAAGTATACATGAATTCTTAGGTATGGAACTTTAAAAAAAAATGCACAAGCAAACAATGAAAATCGAAGTAATAAGTATACATGAATTGTTAGGTATGGAACTTTAAAAAAAAAAAAAAAAAAAAAAAAAAAAAAAAAAAAAAAAAAAAAGGCACCAGCAAACAATGAGAAATTCATCCGCACCTTTATTTTTACTAAAAATGGGAACAACATGTTGACTAAATAAATTCACAAGACAATAGCTTACAATAATTTACTCATGTAAGACTATGTTTTATAAAAGTCCCGATTGCTTACAATAATTTACTCATGTAGGACTATGTTTTATAGAAGCCCCGATACAATCAACCTGGTGCAAAAAATCAATGCAGCAAACCAGCACCATAATTAGATATTGTTCCTGAAACTGGAAATCTCAATCAATGCAAAATAATATACAAATCCCTAGCCACCGCTTGCCGAAACTCGTCTTCAGACAACAAAAAAATTAGTACCACAAACAACCGAAAAAAGCTTAGACAAGAATGAAAAGGCCAAACAAACATATATTAAGGAGCGAATGACCGAACTCATGAATCCCAAAATAAAACCAGTTCAAAGAGAACACCATTAATCAAACACATGTATTAATAGTTCTCAGCTACACACAAACTGCAGATACTTATTCATTTCTAGAGGCACTTGTTTAATAAAATTTGGGCTAACATTATGGCCATTGAGATTTGCTTCAGATTATTATTCATGTTCTTTATATTAGCAAGCGATTGTGTGCAGAAAAAAGGTTTTAAACTCTGCAAAACAAAGTTTTTTGCAGAACAAAAGAAATGCCCTCAAAAGGCGACACATGGCGGGCAAAGAAGAAGCAACATGCTTCCTTATAAGATACAAAGAGATAATGAAAGTTATATAGGTCGCTGAGCTATAAACCGAATTCATTAGCTGCATATCATAGTATGATGTCAGAAATATTTATTTATATTTCTTAAAAGTGTACAAGGGATCTCAGCCTCATCAATCTGTGGGAGTTCATCCACTGAAGTCGTTAGCAAATCCAACACTTCCATAATTTGCCCCCAACTGTGGAGGTATCATACCTGAAGACGGTCATGGATAGGTCATTTGACACAAGAAATATCATAATGTAAGTTTAAAATAATAAAATGAAATCAACCAAAAGATCAAAATTGAAATTTACGAAATATTTTTTGGCAGTCAATAAAATAAGCACGTCTAGAGTAACATAAGAGAATTCCATGTGATTACAAATTGTAAGGCAGATTTATTGTTTTACAGTAAAAGGCAAAATCTAAACGAACTTGAAAAGAGTCGTCATTTGAATAGTTTTTCTATAATTTCTCGTTAAGAATAGACAAACAAACATTTCATTATCCATGAAAAAAATGTATACTACAACCATACGAAGTTGAATACTCACATTTACTAAATGCGAGAGATTTCCAAGATTTGGCGTCAATGGTCCTTCCAAACTACGCCTAGTGAGATTCATATACAAGTCACAATAGTTAGAATCATATAATTCTGTCATAAAGAGAAATAAGAAAACCCCACCACAACCAGCCTCAATAACGAGAAATAAATTATTTCATTATATTTACAATTTCAAAAAACTGATGTAATAAAAAAATGTACCATTCATCCTCTACTGGAAGAAAGAGGTATGACTGAGAACAAAGAAATATAACCAGTTAGACCAACTGAAAACATGGAGAAAAATTTTCAATCTTCATAAAAAAACTGAATAAAAGAAATAAAAATATCATTTTTTTCTCCAAGAAACAAAAAGAGCATAAAAATTAGAAGTTCATAAAGGTTTTCATCACTTTTAAAACAACAAAAGTCTATGATCTAAATGTTGATACAAATTTGAACATTTCCATAATGAGTTCAAAATGAAATATTGTGAAATAACCTTATAATGATTCCACGAAGAAAACTCAACTAAATCTAGGTACACGAAAATAATATTGTGGTATAGCAAGCAAGAGCAAACATAATAATTCCATAAAAAAATACTTAGTTGCGATTAGCTATAAAACAAGAGCAAAGAGAACAATATCATAAAATATACTTATAGGCAATTATATACGATGGATAGACTACAAAACAACAACTTGATATAATCAAACATGAAAAGACAAATCTCAAACCAAAATATTATTTACTTCGTAATTACTTACACGATCATTCAAAGAATTAATTGTTTTGAAAGACAAAATATCAATGCGTAATGATAGATGTACATAATATTATACATAGAGGTGTACATAACACTTACATTGAGTGGGACCCACCAAAAGTAAAAAATCAAGTGGACCCCACTCCATGTGAGTGTTATGTACACTCTATGTACATTTATTATGTACTTGTAGCATTTTCCAATATCAAGTAAAGAAATAAATATATGGGTTTTCAGTATAGATTAGTATTTTAAGCTATTCCACACGATATCGACATGGGCATCCTTTTGGTATGCTAAAGACAACAACATGGTAATTCCTGATTTACTCTGTATGTTCTCAGCTGCGCTGAAATATTCACTATGTTCTTCAAAGGACTCAATCGAACACTAAGAATGAATTAAAGAAAAGTAGGAAGTAACAGAACTTACATTTTAATTCCTCAAACACCTAATGAACAACATTAATCTTGTCTATGATGTGTTGTATTTGGTTTGGAGCACCCAAATAAAGGTAAACGTATATTCATGGGGGCCTCAACTGAACAAACATGTAACATTTTTGTGTTAGTATTTATTTGTCAAATAGTGGATTTTCTCAATTGCAAATCCAGTAATTGGATATATGGCAAGACAAGTCATCCTGATCTTTGAAAAGCTTAAAAAGCTTTTTAATGCATGTTTATTGTTCAACATAAAATTGAACAAGCATAATAGAACCAGTCACAGTGCTAAACTATATTTCTAATACATCAGCGAATCCTTATATTGTTTGAGAAGGTAAGTAGGCGAGACCCAATGAACAAGTACACTTTCAAGGTTCTTATTTATCTCAAATGTCGAGCTACTGAGTTCAACTTTTTCAACCAATATCCATGTAAATATATGGACTAAATAACACAGAGAAACACCAGATTTAATATATATATATATATATATATATATATATATATATAAGCCCCTTCAAAGTAAATAAATTCAATAACAATGCTAATTCTATGCATTTACTAATTCTATATTTTGAACCGTCAAAACATATAAAAGCACACAAACAAAAATTCACAACTTGATTTTTTTTTTTTCTTATTTTTCAACAAAGTAACATGTCTAGCGCAAATAAAAAGAACACAAAAAAGAAAGAAAGAGACGAAGAAAGCAAGGGAAGTCCAAAAATTCAAGAATGAGAAGTTGCAAGCAAACTTAAGAAGCACAACATACTGATAAAACAAGTAACGAGATGACTTCCATTGTTATTAAGGTTGATTTCATGCTAACTGCACTAAAAAATCCAACCGATCCAACCACTAAGAGCATTACAAGTACAACTTCTGCTAGCTCAAGAAATACTTGGTTGCCCAAAAAAGAGAAAGGACATGAGTCGATATTTGAGTTAAGAAATGGAAAGATAGTTTCTAATAAAACAACAACATACAAAGCAGAAGAATTCTTCCATTCTTACCCTGGCGCATTTTCTCCAACAACTCGCAACTTCTTGCAAGCAACTCCCGACTACAAATCGCAAGGAAATTCTCCTCTGGAACAAGTTCGCCGCTGAAGCACCCATTCAAACTTCCATTACTGCCACCATTAGCAACTCCCATTCCTTTGTCAACAGGAATTACAACAGCCAGATTCCACACATCCTTTAATGCTCTCGCCTTTACTGTGGCGGCGTAACGTAAAGCTAGAAAATCAAAATCCAAACCAATGTAACGAAATTTACAAATATAAATATAGGTTCTATTTGAAAACAAAATTTACGATATTGTTTTCAGTTTAGGAGGCATTTTTCAGGAAAAGTATGAACCTTGATGGGGTGTTCGGTTGATACATGACACATTAAGGGGCTATTTTTTTTTCTATCGTTCATTCAATTTACACAAACACCATCCAGATTTAGCTTTTGACAGAAAACAACCAAGAAATTAACGTTCGGCCATAACTTTAGTACATAACACACCCAAGAAATTAATGCTCGACCATAGCTTTAGTACATAAAACATCAAAGAAGTTAATGCTCGACAGGAAGTTTATCCTGGCAGGCATGATGATTGACTACAAAAACCTTACTGGTAGCATTAGTAGCCATGAAAGTCATAATATCTCCAGCCGAGCTCACGACGAAGGCGATTAGGACATATTGCAACACCTAAGCACCATATACCATTAGAACAACTGTATGTATAATGCCAAAGAACACTGAAAAATAAATAGACAAGAAATAAACCATAAAATGCTAAGAGAACAAACCAAAAGCAACTCTTTTCTGAGCAAATAACTCACATACACCAGAAGCAAGAACACACGGGACCCACTGCACTAAAAGCAAGCACGAATTGAGCTGCAAGCAAAAATAAAACACAAAAACAAAAAAATGATGAGAAGAGAAAGAAAGAAAGCAATTAAGAGAATTCTGAAAACACGCACACAATATGAAAATGGACCATTGAACTGCCCCAAAATAATAGAGAGCTAGAGAGTACAACAAATAATTGAAAAATAGTGTGTTCAACGACAACATAGAAGATGATTTTAAAGTAAAAGAACCCAACCCATTAATCAAAATAAGGCCGAAAATTTAGGGCATAGCAGGAACAATGGTTAGTGAATAAAAAGGCCACAAAATCGGGGCACAACACCATAACGAACCAAGAATTACAACAATTTCGGCATGACCATCGACTGGAAAATCAGAGAGGCCCTACAATCTCGTCGAACACACCACTTTTTTCGACGGCGCTATCAAATCCAACACAGTAAAGCCACAACTGGTCACACCTTGGACGGTGATTTCGACGACATGACCACGCCCACAGCTAGAACAAAAAAGGTGACATTTTGAGATACAGAGTGCAAAAAAATACAGGAACAAGGGTTTTTTGGTAAAGAGGCTCAAGATTCCGTTGAGGAGAATCGGGATTCCGACGATTATAAGATTTCCTCTCGCTGAAGAAACCTCACAAACTCCTTCGATCGGCCTAGATTTTGACCCGTCCTTGATTGAGTCGACTCCGACGACCGGTTGAAGAGCGGCCCCACTCGCCGTTCGATTGCATCGCCGTCCGCGGGTTTGCCTTAGCGACTGAGAAATGATAAGAGTTAGGGTGTGTTTGGTTCAATGGAGGGGTAAGGAGGGGAGGGATTTTAATGGAGAGAAAGGGAGGGGAGGGGAGGTGATGTAAAATAATTTTACCTTGTTTGGATGGATAATTTAGGAGGGGAAGGGAGGAAAAATGGTAAACCTTGTTTGGTTCAAAAACTAAATGAAGGGAAAATAAAATTAAAATGACAAACTTACCTTAATGAAGTAAGATAAAAAATAAAAAGCAATTGAAAGTAGGGACTAAATAGTCATTTAACATCATCAAATAACATTTCCCCTCCAAATCCCTCCAATTTTGGGGGGGAGAAAAAGTGAGGGAGGGGAGGGAAAATTACTTAAAATTTTCCTCTCCCTCCCCTCCTAGTTTTGCACCAAACAAAGGAAAATTAAAATTCTTCATCCCCTCCCCTCCCCTCCCCTCCAAATCCCTTGAACCAAACAATACCTTATGGAAAGAAGAAAATGCTACAGTCCCATTAATGGAATTAGGTTTCATGGGGATGATGTCTGATGGAGAGAAAGTGGAAAAAGGAGTATGTTGCGTTTGATTTTTCTAATGCTTCAAACGTCGTCGTTTTCATACAAATTGTAGGAAAGAAAAGGTTACCACGTGGCTCCAAAACAAGAGAAGGTGTGTTTTCATAAAAATTGAAAGAATGTTGCCTCCATAAGGTGCCACGTGGCGAGCAACAAAAGGCTTACATTTTTACTTATAAGTATAAGAGAGATAAGAGAGATAAGAGAAATAAGATGATAAGATAGATTTTATAAGAATAAGAGAGATTTTACTCATTCTTATTCATATTTCATACGACTACTCTTTTTTATTCATACTAGTGCGTATCTCGTGCGTTGTACGGGTAAATAATATTAAATAATAATTATAAATAGGTCTCGAGTTCGAGTCACCTAATGAAAGAAGAAGTGGTGAACCATTATCCTATTTTAAAAGAGCAAAAAAATATTTTAAATTAAAGATGAGGGATTAATAACATGTGATATAATTTACCGTCATATATCAATTTATTATCAACAATATAAAATTAACTTGTCTAAGAGAACATAAAGATTGCATATTTAAAATATTAAAAACATGTAAACTTATGTAAAAGTTTATGTAGATGTGAAGTCACCTACAATTTTTTTAAACTATTTTGTTAAATTTAACATTTGTATGAAAGATGTTTTCTGAACTCTGTTGTAAATAAAACATGTTTAAAAATATCAAAATTTAATATGTTGCAAGCGGATTTATTGTTGCAAGCGGATTTAATGTTGCAAGCTAGAATTAAGGAAATAATGCACTAAATTTGTAACACCCCGCCTTTTTACTGAAATCAGAGTACACTTTTCGCAAATTTTCTGAATAAATTTAATAAAATATTTATTTTTGCGAAAACTGATTTGGAGTGTTACCTTGAAAATCTAACCTTTCTGAAAAACTGTTAATTTTAAACTGATAATAAAATGGTTGCATAATATTTTAACCGACTAGTGTCGGATCAAAAACTGAGTTCATGTACTGAAAAAGTAGCGGAAAGTAGCGTGGCCAAAACATAACATATACATATCAAAACAAATATCCTGAACAACACGTCAGCTCACTCCTCGTCCCCAACTCTGTGACCTGAAAAACATGAAATACATGGGGCGTGAGCACTATAACACTGTGCTCCGTGGAAACTCATACTAAAATAAACAGTGAATATAATAACAATATCATGATCC